GTAGTTGGTGTACTTGCTGTAAATGATAAGGATGCAGCCCGTTCTCATGAAGAGCCCTCCACGTCATGGACTGAGAAACACCGAACCGCTGAGCTAGACGTCTTGTACTGGCACGCAGACTGCGCTCTACAGCATCGAGAATGGTTTCTTCTTCACACAATTCATGTTGAAGATTTCGTTCGTATTGTATACAAATGCTGGGGAGAGAACCAGTTTGTCCTAATGTGTTGAATGTACTGCTAATGGATTTAGGATTAGGAATCCTGCGAATAGGATAACGCCGGTGATATTCGGCAGCAGCAGCTCTCTCATTTCCATCACATACACCCAAAACAAACACCATATCGGTGTATTCCTCAGTGGAAAATGTGTACAGCATCTTAACTTCACAGTCACCAACACAACGTCCTATTTACGACCGGAACACTCTGCCTACCTACGTGCAACATTCCAGCTGGTCTGCGTTAACTGACACAGCTGACTGGAACGCATGGTTGCCCAGTCGGGGGGGGGGCACAGCGCTGCATTCACAATGATGTGCTTCGAAAATCCATTGTTACTCCATAACTATTGAAAATCGACCACAAGTTTATAAGGAAATTTTGCAGGAAATAACCCCAGGAATATGTACCATAAGCCGGGGTAAAACTTCGTGAATCACCCTGTATATGAACTTAACCTTGAGGAAGGCTATTGGATAAAATTTTGTTTGAAGTTGATAGCAGTGATATCCCATATTAATTGCTACAGTCAGTTTTATCACTCATCTTTTAAACTGGTACAATAATATACTCCTTCCACTGATCAGGCAATTCTTCATTATTCCAAATAGAATTAATGAGTTTACAGGTCTCAGACAGTAATTATTCACCTCCTGCTTGAATCAGTTCTGCCGGAATTTGATTACTACCTGGCAAAGACTATCAACACTTGAAGAATAAACCTTGAGAACATGATAACCTTTAAAAAACAGTGGAATAAATATACCAGTAATACTGACAAAAAATTACAGATGTTTGGCAAAATCTGTACTCGAATATTTTGAATTACATGCTTTACTGAAATATGGCTTGAGTAGGTGTCTCTTTTGGACTGTTTTATAATTTTTCTGTTAAACATTAAATAGAGACAGAATGGGACAGTCAATAAAAATTCAGGGAAACAGTTCATGATTTTCATAGTAAGCAGTGATTTGTTTTGAAATGCCACCAGCTGAAAAAGGATATACTTACCTAGTTTTCGATACTGAGAACTTGCAACTGTAAAATTCACAAAGTCCAGGACCTCAAATAGGATTAACACTGGGGGACTACCCTGCAATATGTACTCAAAATCCTCATTGAATACAAGTAGCTCTTCCCAAAATGGCACAATGGTTCTAAAGAACAAAAATACATTACAACTTAAAATATTCATTCTAATTTTCTTACACATATGACATTTTCAATGTGACACTTTCAGTAATTCTAGGAGTAATAAGCCATCTAGTATAACAAATTTCACTGAATATATTAAAGCTATACATCCAATTAATCTACTCTATTAAATTTCTTACACTGGATGGCTTATTATTCCAGTAAATAGCCATTCTCACTTTAAAATCAAGGCACAATTTAGATGCCAAATCTCATAAAGGTTGTTATATTATTAACAAGTCTTCTTTGTTGTGAGGTTTACCGTTATTAGCATGTGCACTTATGTTAGGCAATTCTTAAACATTAACACATTCACCAAAAATAAGATGTTCAAACAATACATCCTAATATAACAGACTAACAATGAGAGTTTGTTGGTTACTGATTGGAAAGCAAATACAGAGGTTACTGTAAAAATCCGAACTCTGTTACCACTGTTTCTTACTGACAAAATTAGAAACTCCTAAGCGCAATAGAAAAAACTACTATTCCCTAGCAAAACTAGAAATTACTGCAACTACTGGTATAAATCTGAATTAAAGTTGAAAGACCTAGTATTTACTTCACTTTTCTGTGAAACTTGCGGACGTGAAAAGAAATGCTCATTGCAAGACCTGACATTCTCACAGCAGTGACTATGAAGATTACTGCCTTCTTGTATGTGACCCCAGTCTCGGAGACCACTGCCAGCGTCTACTTTTGCCTTGAAGATGAAGGCAGCATGTTCTTCCGGAACAATGGTTGGGATCTACCAGACTACATAATGTCACATTCTAAAGGACAGAAATTTACATTGTCATTGCTCATTGGAATGTAATATCTTGGCAACTGCCAGGAGGGACTGCAGCAAATAAGAATCATAAAAAAGTCACAATAATTCGTTCAAGCCAGAATAAAAAAAACCATCAGCTTTCTGTATGCATTACCAACGTACCAAATCAATCAGTGTCTGTCTGTTAGAGCACAACTTATATCTTCACATTCCACCATATTATTCAATTTGAAAATGTCTCATAGCATAGTTGGTTGAGGCACTATGCTACAAGCTGGAAGGTAACGGGTTTAAGTCCTGATGAGGTGGATTTTTTTTAATTACCTAATCCTTCCAGCTGCATTTTGGCCCTGGGGTCAACTCAGCCTCTAACAGAAATGAGTACCTGGAATATTCCTGGGGAGGGGGGCCAGCGCTTAAGGCTGACAATCTTACCGCCATCTGTGAACCGACTATCTAGAGAAAATGTGGAAGCCTCAACGTCTCACAACTCTATGAGCCTTCATGGCCTGTTATAGGAATAGCTTTACCTTACCTCACCTCATATAAAATCAGTTTTCTCACCTCCTCTCTTTGTAATCAAACACCTCCGTCATAAGCGGCAGAATATAATCAACCTCCTGGTTTTCATTGTAGAAAGATACTGAGCGACCAGAGTTGCTTTTCTTCAAGTAATTTCCAGTCGCTGCATCAAGAAGATGTACTTTCACGAGAGGGTGTCGTACAAGAGGATCTACTTGCAAACATTCACTTCGATGAATGAAAATTCCAACTATTTTATCATAACTTAACTCCACTGATTGTGATCCCTCTTTCTTCACAGCAGTTTCTACTGCTACTTCTTTGCTTTCTCTTCTTAATTTATGGAACGATTTTCTGCCAGAAGACACTTCTTTTCCTTCTACTTCTCCATCTGGTGTTTCTATATTTCTCCGCTCAATCTCCTCTTTTTTCTCAACATTACAGTGTGCATTCTTTTTATTTTTCACCTTCCTTCTCTCAACTTTCTTAGGTAGGACACAATCATCATCATCATCATCACCATCTTCTGCTGGTATGCTGGTGTTTTTTAAGTTATCTATGGGAAGTACTACATTCAAGCTGCTGGTTGCTGGTACAATCTGCTGATGATGTTCTTCTACTTCTGTTTCATGGGTTTCACTTGGTTTCAGATGTTCCTTTTGTGTCCTTCTCCTGGGAAGAGGGACAGGTTTCTTCTGATGTTCACTATTCCTGCAGGATGTACTAGCAAAATGTTTTCCTTGGAAACAATCTGGATTTTCTTCAAAGGATTCTGATTGAATGCTTCTTCTTCTTCTAGTGTTTGTTTTGACGAAATCCGTTCCTTTCACTACCTCGTTTTCAGAATCAATTTCTACTTCTTTCTTCAGAGAAACTTGGCTTGAATTCCTTTCATCTTTCAATCTCTTGTCCAGAACCAACTGCTCTCTATTTTTACTAGAATTTTCTTTATCATATTTATGCAAATGTCCATTCAATTTTTCTTTCACAGCTGCATCTTCATCACTGCTTGATAACAAATTGAGGCTGCTTAACCTCTGTGTGGATGTATTATATGATTTCAATGCACACTCTTCCACACTTCTTGAGAAAGATCCCCTGCCGCATCTATCTTCTCCCTTTGCAGGTTCCACATTTGTTATTTCTTTCTTTGCAAAGCTGCTGGCTTCCTCAACCTAAAAAACATTAAAATTACAAAATATTACGAAACTGAATTGTAGATTTGGTATGATAACTTGACCTTAGTGTTGTGATACTAACACATTCACTCACTGTGACACCAGCTGCCCTCAAGAGAATACACCCTCCCAGTTTCAATGACAGCTTGTGACAATGTAGCTACTAGCAGAAATATTTTCCTCTTCTCCAGCATATTTACATCTAACAGCATAACCTTCATACATCATAGCATCAGCTTTGAGAAATCATATTCAATTTACAGTCAACAGATGCATTTTATTTCCTAGCAGAAAACTGTATAAGATATTTAGCTACAATAGCACAGCCCACATGCTGCAAGTGATAGTTAAACTGCCAACAGTGTGTGTGTGTGTGTGTTAATACTGTGACATGTTGCACAATGGAGGACAACCCCTCCTTACCCAGCAGTGACGTGGCGGGTGAGTCAGTGCTCTGTCCCCCCCTCCACACTGTGACATGGCACACAACGCTGCTGTCGACACGGCGTCAGGCAACAGCAGTACCGATTACGTAACAGGCAAGCGCTGCGACTATATAAGAGAACTACACTACCTACAAAGCCAGTTGAAATGTGGCCGTCGCCGAGTGCAGTTGTTGTGAGTTAAAAGTGTATCAGCCGCCGAAGTGAGTTCTCCAGTCAGCATTGAATGAGTAAAAAGTGTATCAGCCACCAAAGTGAGTTCTCCAGTCAGCAGTGAATGAGTTAAAAGTGTATCAGTGGCCGAAGACAGTTCTCCAGTCAGCAGTGAACGAGTTAAAGTGTATCAGCCGCCAAAGTGAGTTCTCAAGTCAGCAGTGAACGAGTTAGTGTGATAATCAGTGTGATAAGTGAGTAATAATTGGGAGTGTGTGATACAGTGGCACTGGTATAGCTCCCGTATCGTAATTAATACATGTATACTACTGAAGACAGAGTGAATTGATTAATGCATAGGGTTTGTAAACTGTGGAAACCCGCAACAGTGTTGTAATTAATTGTAGCCGATAATTGTAGGTTGTTAAATAAACCAGTTAACTATTTGAATGGCGTCTTCAGTAATGAAACACGTTACAATACTTTCATACTAAATATATTGCTTCCTGAAAATTAATTCATGCTGTCTAAAAGTACTGGCAGACAGCTGATTTTAGCAGTACATATGAGAATACCAAAACTGAAACAATTGTGCTTCCTAACGAAGGAGTGAAAATGGGTATCCAATGGAGTACATATATTTTCCAAATGGATTCTCTTCTTTCCTTATTGGTCTTAATGTTCATGTATTTAGACACATATATACTGTTGTAAGCCTAATCACATACACATGCGCACATGTGAAAGCATACACTCTTCTGTCAGATACTTGGTATCTGCATTATAAAGCAGTAACATACAAGGCCTTAAGCATGTCATTTCTAACTGTATTTCAAAAGAGAAATTAAAAGCCCTACTAGTTTTATCGTGCTTGTCTATCTATCTGCATGTAACAGTAACCAATGGGGCCAATTTCAATTTATTAAACTTGGTATGGTAGAAGTCAATTCTAAAGGGGTCTGACAATGAGTTATGACATTTAGGCTTACTGAAATTTTGGACTTTGCCCATTGTCCAGTATTTTACAGAACACAACATGTTGGAAACTGGACCTGCTTCCATCCTCAGGTGAACAAGGTGGGATGCACCTATTCTGTCCAATCTAACATAAGGGGCCAACCTCAATCCAGTGATGGAGGATGGGCACAGTTCCAGTTTCCAAAATGTTGTGTTCTTTAGAATACTGGATGATGGCCAGAGTACAAAAACTCAACAATCCCGAGTCAGTATGGTAGACTCACACTACATTTTATGTCACACTGCATGTCACAGCTTCTAAACAACACATACAGCTACACCTCTGTCACCCACACAAACCTTCAGAAAGATAAAAGTGTGTGTTCATATATATTATGTTACCTATATGATTAACTGTGCAATGCATTTTAAGGATGACGGATGATATCGAATCGCAAACTCGTATCCCTACCGTCGCAGTCATTCATGGTTCTACATATCTTCAGTGAGTGGAGTGACGTTTAACATTTTCATGCATTTACATCACACTATAGCAGATCGTCTTATTCCATACTATTCAGAAGTTCAAGTTTCATTCATGCTGAATGTGGCTCATTTTAGATTAGGTTAGTTTCGTTTACGTTTTTCTGTACTAGCATGATGTGGAACGAACGTCCCAAAAGACGTGTAATAAGGAGATAAATCTACATCCTAATTTAGACCTCTAACCTTTCCTTATGTTCGAACACAATGTAAATGTTTACATTATCCTGTGTTTGACGAAAATAACTTACATTCTCTTGCTCTTGATCCACAGCGGCGCGCAGCAATGAATGGAACCGATCTCTGGTTTCACGTGCACTGTTTAGTCGCGTATGAGTAAGTGGAATTTCATCATCAAAATGGGAATGTTTTCCCATTTATGAACAGTATATCACCAACCGCGATTAAAATTAAATACTTCTTTTACACTTCTCCAAGTTCTAACCTCCAACAGAACTTTGTTTACAAACAACAATAATACCAACATACAAAATAAAACAAAACGTCTCTCACCATTCTCTGTGTCAAAGAGCATACACGTTTCTACACAGCCTTTCAACTATCTCTATGCATGCAAAGAAAAGTGTGCGTCTGTTTTCTTTTAATTCGTTTAGTAGGGGCTGGAGTCCACCTGGGTCCACTCGGCACGGCGGCCACTGATTGGCCTATTGTAGCATGCCCCGGGTGATTATGACGATGGACAATTTGGTGGAATGAAGATTGACAGGAGAAAACCCGCCTCAGCGCCACTTTGTCCACCACAAATCCCACTTGACCAGAGTCCGGGATCGAACCCGGGCCTCCGCGATGGGAAGCCAGCGACTAACCGCTTGAGCTATGGTGCGGCCCGTGCGTCTGTTTACTTTTCTTACCCTTCCACACCCCTGAATCCACTTCGACCATGCTTGGTATGGTACGAGGGTACCTTCTTGGGAAGGTTTTAGACACCTGTGAACACATATTTTATAAATTTAAGTACTCCCACAAAATTCTGGAAACTCCAAAGAAAGAGTACTGCTTGAAAGAGTACATACAATCTTCTGAGTTGTAACATCTTGTAGCTACTACTCGACCCTGAAAACGGAGACTATATACTCCTCCGAGACGTATTACTTTCTTCGAACTACACGGCGTTAAAACCTGGTCACTGTCGCGAGAACCACAAATTTACCTTTTTTTGCTTATTGTTCCAGAAACATTCTTCCCGACGTGCTGAGTATTTTTGTTGTCGATAGACATTAGAAGAGAAAAGGAATGCATGTGGGATATTGGTGCGAAAGCCAGAAGGAAAGAGACCACTGGGAAGACCAAGGCGTAGTTGGGTGGACAATATTAGAATGGATCCTAAAGAGATGGGATGCTATGGTATGGATTGGATTGATCTGGCTTAGGATAGGGGCCAATGGAGTGCTCTTGTGAACATGGTCCGTAAAATGCTGGGAAATTCTTGAGTAGCTGCGCAACTGGCGACTTATCAGGAAGGGCTCAGCTCCATAAGTAAGTAAGTAAGACATTAGAAAAAGAAGGCCTTGCTTACCCCACATGTCTATCTGTTATAATTTTTTAGATATTTAGTTTCAAAATTTTCAAATATAAAAGGAAATTTTTATTCCACGTGTCTAATTAACAGGTAAGAATCAAATATCTCAAACACTACAACAGACAGATGTAAAGTGTAAGCAAGGGTCTTTTTTATAAGATGTATTGAACGTAAAAAATCCTCAGTATGGCAAGTCGAATGATGGAGATCAGTAATATAACTTTTAAATATACCCCTATTACACTTACCAATTACATACGTACGTGTGAATTACATCAACTAATTTAATATAAGTCAGTTACATCCCTGCCTTGGTTTTTGCATCCGTGCTTTGTAAATCGCTATGTAATCCTTTCATATCTCGTTACCTAACAGTCTCTGAGATGAACGACTTGAGGGCATTTCATTCTTAAACGTACATAGGCGATGAAGAGATCAGAAAATGTTTCATAAATTGTTTCAGTCCAGGGCCACGCCTTTTAAAAAATGTTAATGATAACGCAATTTATTCAAGGAGTAATATCATAAATTCATAATACGAATTTCTGTTCCATAAACGCAAACCAAAATTTCTATCTTTCGGAATGCGGCAATAGGTCTGAGCATTTCCTTTTACGCGATTTCACCCTCCCCGCTTTTAGCATTTTAGGAGCAATCCCGGATCTCCCTTGAGGAAAATTTATCAATATAAAAACCTCGAACAGCAGTTATACGTATTATACGCGACGTTCATCACGACGGCTGAAAAAAAAAAAACATGGACCCGACATATTATTAAAGTGTTTAACTTCTATGTACTGCTGTTGTCTGGAATACTCTCACGTGTGAAAGTTGGAATTATTTTTTATACTCTTTTACCATTTGGTGGAAATATTTGTAAATCGGAAGTGGGAAGGTATTCTAAACATATTTTCAAAATACGATGTAAACGAAAAAGAACATATGATTGCTAACATTTCATCCCTAACAAAGCTAACAGAGCTTGTGTTCTAAATTCCTTAGTTAAGGCTCGTCGAGATGTTTTTCATGAAGCAAGCTTCTTTTGCATTGAACTGCAGTCACTTCTTTACTCATCCATATTAGCTACTAATTACAACGTGGGAGTATAAGGAAAATAAACTGGCTGAATTAAGTAATTGGTGTGGAATGGTTACGTCACCCCATATATTCCACTCTTTGTTTCTTTTACAATTTATGGCCATTAAAACTTTCAGAACTCCACGAATCAATTTGAGGAAGTTCTTTGACAGAACACCAGTCGCCGGGGTAATTGTTACTAGACATCTGGTAACTGACTGAATATTCGCCTCTCATAGACGCCAAAAATCATCAGCAAAACCTGAGTTTCACATTTCTTCGTGAAACCAATGCAAGCAACAGAACCAATGCCGATGTATGAGTAATTCCCTTTTGTACTAAGAGTCTGATATGTGATATCTGAAAGTTTGATCATATAGTACAGCAGAAATCTCATAGAACACGTTTTATTTTCACGGGGTAACTCGTCCTGACGAAAAAAGGGAAACGACGTTCGAGATATCTCGTCGGAAACAAATAAGGCGTAAATATTTCCATAATAAAATGCAGCGTCATGTCGTTCCTCAGTTACACGCAGAAAGGAATAAAATTATTTAATCATCGTCATCATCATCATCACTACAATAATCAGGAATACCTGCCTCTTTCATTGTCGTTGAAGCTGACGATCTCGTTCCAGGTCACCGTAGAGTTCTACGTGGTGTTCCCTTCTGCAGACAGCTTGCCTTGCTATACTGGTACTATGTGAGTGTTGTGTTTTATTCTCGCTGTTTCCATATTCATGTATTATGTCTATAAGATAAATTGTATTCAGTTCCCTGCTAATATCTTCACTATTCCCATTATCAATTGAACCAAATCCTGCACCCAAACGTAAAAAGTTAATTGCTGCTGCTTGTATTCAGGAACAATACTTCTCTGTTCCCAAACTCCACATCCATATACTACAGCAGACACAGCATAACTCTATGAAATTTTGACTGAGTATCTTTGCTGAGGATTTATTTAATAAAGAAGATGGATTTTTGAAGGAATATCAATTTTTTCTACTCCAGAGAGAATGAGAAACATTCCTACATGCCACAGGTTCTTACAGGTGGAGTTATCCCTGTGCTTACTTAATTATATAAAGGTATAAGTGGGGAGTGAATGTATCGCTCTATGCACTCTTAATATCGTCAATCAGTTTCACGCTCTGGCTGCATTGCTTCCAAGGAAATAGGTTCGAGGACTCAGTGGACAGAGGCTTGGTGGGCCTAAGAACTGCTCTGCGTGCGGCGTCGAAGATAAAAATCTCTGACCTTATCAGGAATCGAACACCCTCAAAGTTTGTATGTCACTACGCCAGCAACTTATGCTGAATCACGTTTTGTGCCTAAATTCTGCCATTCTCAGGCTTTTTTTTGTGATATTCCGGGTAAGCCGATTAAATGTAGACGAAGTAAAAGAACTGACTGTTTGGGCATTATCCATTGTCCTCATTTTGTTTAAAACGACGTTGCGGAGACTAGACTCTGTCTTCATCCTCAGGTAAAAAGCCTATTTAGCTTGGTTCAATCGATACAGCTTGTCCGTATCTCCGCGGGCTAGCTCTATCGATTAGGCTCAACTGAGTAGGCTTTTTACTTGAAAATGGAGACGGAGTCCAGTCTCCGAAAAGTCATTTTAAATAAGAATGAGACGATGGAATATATATAAAAAGTTAATGACTTTATTAATATAACACATGCGGTAGCGTAATTGGTTGAGGCACTATGCTACAAGCCGGAGGGTCGAGGGTTCAAGTCCCGATGAGGTCACTGGCTTTTTTTTTCAATTGACCTAATCCTTCCAGCCGCACTATGGTCCTGGGGTCGACTCAGCCTCTAACAGAAATGAGTACCAGGAATATACTTGGGGGGTAAAGGGCTGGCGGCGCGTAGGGCTGACAACCTTGCCTCCATCTATGAGCCGATTTTCTAGAAAATGTGGGGAACCTCAACATCTCACAACACTATGGGCCTCCACGGCCTGTTACAGGGATACCTTTACTTATTTTTCACTTTTTGCTTATTAATATGCCGTCGTAACGAACTTTCAGATCTTATTTCAGGCGAAGAAGTAGCTCCTTAAATTGAACAATCTTCATTCATTTCTTGTTTCTGAAGACTTATAGCATAGTCATTTTCTTTTCTAAGTAACAAATTATTCTTTAGGGTGATAGAGGGAGTACAGGCCTTGGTGATCATTCTAAAGTTTCGGGGCTCCCATACGCGGTTACTAGGAATAAGAAAAGCATAGAAAATTTTGACTGTAAAACACCAAGCTGGGAGACGTAGTCGTAGAAGGTCTGATAACACTAAAGTGCAATTTGGAGGAATTCATGCTGAAGAGGTGAACTGTATTCTACTAGAACAAGGCTGGGCGGATTTGTTTGTATGGAAGGTATATTAAAATCAAGGAATGTCTTGACCGCCTGAATAACTCTCTACTATGTAGTATATACTATGTATTCAGAACTTTAAATTTTAGAAATTTTAAATTTTAAACTGTAATTCTAAAATCGAATTGACTAGCGTGTTTTGGCGAGATTTTAAAACAAGACTGACAGGCTGATGTTTTAGATTTTGGACTGTGTGCAGTGTGACAGTTACGTAGTGAAAAATACACCTGATGATGTCCAATTACGGCCGAAACATGTAGTGTAGAGGAAGAAAAGACAAAGATCTACAACCAAATAAATTGTTGCATTCACGATGGTATTTGTATTATTACATATAGAAGTGTATAGTGCAACAGGATACTTAAATATAATGTACTGACATTTTCCACTTGAAACAAGCAACGCTTCCTGATACGCTCACTAGAATTTTGTGTCTGTAAACACAGAAACTTCTACTAAAGTAGGGGACGAAGTGGATGGATACGGACGAAAATTAATTACATAGGTATCGATATGTTTGGTGTAGACCTCATACATACGTACTACATACTATCTCAGCATTTCTTCGAAGAGGCAGGAATTACGCAAGTATTCTCAGGATAACTTGAAATTTGCCCAGATTCCAAATGATTACCTCTTCTGCATTACAACTGCACCAATTTGTTTGGGTTACAGAAGGTAAATATAGTACAGATCATGCTTCCACTTCTTTCCCTGAACACACAATAATCCATTTGGCAGTACATGATTCCCCGACGTGTGTGCGTGTATGCGTGTAGTTCTGTTCCCCCAAATGGCTTGGCACGCGTGTCACCACGTGCCTCATCACACAGCATGAAATGATGGGATACTGCACGGAATTACTTGCCAGCTCCACTGAAAAGAGCCCCATTAAAGTGGGCATGCAGCCACACCCTGAACGGTATTCGAGTCCCCGTTCCCGTGTGTGAGTGATCACTTCACCGTCACCGAGATCGCAAGCCTTAGGGCAGGAACACGCACACAGCGACATCAGTCGTACGACGTCCGTACGGTTCATGTCGCATCAAGTAGTAAAATATAAAGTGTGAACTTAGCTTCCATACGTGACGACATGCGACATCTACCGTACGACAGTCGAAGAGCAAAGAAATGTTTTTCGTCGCTCTAGTGTGAAAAGGAGGTCGTACGGCAAAAAGATCGTACATTTTTCCGTACGACCGATGTCGCTGTGTGTGTTCCTGCCCTTAGGCCGGGCGCACACCAAGGAAACTGGAAACCGCAACGCAACCGAAATTTCCGAGAATTGTTATCAGCCTGAGTTGAACACATGTTACTGAATGGAGTAGCGCAAACTGAGGAAACTGCGTCGGAAATTTCGGTTGCGTTGCTGTTGTCGGCTTCCTTGGTGTGCCCTCGCTCTTAAAAAGCAGTCATCTTTGGCATCATGTCTGTAGGGTTCCAACGGATGAACTAGACCGCGGTTTTTAACACAACTAACGAAATTCCCAGTAGCAAATCTGTTTATAACAGGTCACACTTAGGTTACAATGACTAATCAATTATCACTAATTATGTTTGGAATATACGTATATGAAAGGATGTCGTACTTTGAGGAGGCGGTCTCACAGAAGAGAAGTGCCGTGTGTTCAGTGAGTTCTGTGGTATGACGATTTGGTTCCCATTCTACCTTGAAAATGAAATCTGGTAACTTTCTAGTAATGACGTAACGATCCACGTCACTACTGATACTGACGTAATCTAAAAATATTTTAGAACACTTAATACACTGACATACACGTATTTTGAGCGAACATAATTATCAAAGCCTGATACCGTACAACATTTCAAAATCTACACTTAATGGCATTAGTATTGTTCCCCCGCCACGAGATAGCAAAGCCGCCATGACGGTCTAAGAAACGAGGTACTGAAAATTTACAAGATGAAGAGGTCTCCATCGTGCTGATCATACCAGTGAGTGAACTACTGAGGTCAGTTTTTAGCCTCCTTTCCTTTTTTTGAAAACTAAAAGTAGGCTTATGATATCACCATGCTCTCTGTGAATCACCGCCCCCCCCTCCCCAACTTTTTGAATGCCCGAACCAATATTCATGAAACTTGGTATGTACTCGTATATAATGACACCTGAGCCCACCTCAACGGCATACTTCGTAAATCACTCCCGTCAGCCTGTGCGTCTGTGCGTGCATCTCACTACCGTTGCTAGGTAAAGACTCGGTGTAAACGTTACCACGCCAATTAATACACACGTAACAGTGGAAGAATGGTTGGACGCATATTTATCTGTGCGGGCCGTGTCGCATCAAACGAAAGTTGGCGATTAGTTCTTCCCAGGACTTCTTGGTACACCAAGGGATGAAAAACATATACAGTTCGACAATGGGAATCTTAAGATTGCACTGTGATGGCACTGCCCCAAATTAAATCATGTTCTTAATATCTGAATAATGTCATTTCCCATTCCGCCCAACACAGTGTCCTTACTGATTCTGTGTGAGGCCGTTAGGCCTATGTAAATTCTTCTGACTGGGTCAAGACTGTGTTTACCCCAGTGACCCACATCCATAATAAAAGCAGGGCAGTCCGCACGCAAATGGGAGCAACGCAGCCCCTAGCGCCTTTCGTGTTTACTTTTAGTCCTGTTTGCCGATTTAAACAATATCAATTATGGAGGTTATGTCCCATCAAATGGAGTATGATAATGAGGATCCTGAATAATGGGTCCAGTCGTTCTCTTTGTTAACTATCGTTTAAAACAATAACCATTGACAATGCCGGCTGAATTTCCTTTCATTAGTTTTCTCAAATACCAAATAATAAACACAAGCTACAAAATTGCATGTTTCAAAGCAAAATATCTCGCTTGAAAGAAAATAATCCCAGTCTTGCCTGAAGGGTCTGAGTAAAATCAAGAATCATCTCACTCAAAATAGCTGGTAAAGGTAAAGTTGTCCCTGTGCTTAACTAATTAAGCCAAACGCCATGCAGGCGTATAAGGGAGTGGATGTATAGATGCACATTTTCTTGACCTCAGCAGTAGTTGCAGGTGAGTGGTCAGCTTCATGCCCCTGCCTCTTTTTTAATGTTAGTGAGGGTGGGACTAAGTCCCTTGTAAGCGGCCTCCGTAGTCTAGAGGTAACGTTCCCACCTCATGATTCATGGTACGCGGGTTCAAACCCGGTGGAGGTCGTCGAAATTTTAAGGGCGGAAAAATTCAGGGAACAAGTCCTCCGGGAGGGACTTTAAGCCGTGTGTCCCGTGTCGTACCTTTACGGCACGCAAAAGAACCTCGTATCTCCAAAGGAGGTCACTGAGCCAAATTCAAGGACGCTTCCAGCCCAACAGTAGTCTCTAACACCTCTGATAGATGGGGGAACCATTATAGATACCGCCAAGCCAGTGGAGGCCGAACTCGCTGGCTCGGTCGGGACTGATGGTACGTACCAATATCGGTAGGATATAGAGACTGGTAGAATATCATAGAGGGAAGCACAATGGACCAATACTGGTCTAAGTGCATGGGGAAACCCACCCTCTCCAATAACTAACTAACTAACTAACTAACTAACTAACTAACTAACTAAGTCCCTTGTACTGCGGTCACTTCTGGCCTATAGTACAAGCCCCAGATGATAGGTGAGGGTGATTGTGGAGCAATTGGTAGAATGAAGATTGGCAGGGGAAACCGAAGTACTCGGAGAAAACTCCCTGGAAAATATCCCCAGGAACCCATTGAATTGGAGACTGGGAGGGCCCAAGAGCTGGTCTGGATGACGTGGAGACCCTGCAGGGACTCGAACTCCGAACCCTCGGTCGTCCAGACCGCATCCAGTCGCTGCACCGATTGCGCTATCCCTGCGATCCCGGTTCTACAAGATAGCTGGCACTCTGGCTATATTATACTTGCTTATAGAATGAGACAGACTGACAAGGGAGGACTAGTAGCGCTCAGAAACAGCAAGACGAAATATGCGGGTGACTACAGAGCAACATGACGCGTCAGACAACATTCTGATGACCTGGCAGCACACACGCACACTCAGCAACACAACAGAAGTAATGGAAATCAATGGGGAAGTGTCACACAGATAAAGTGAGCATAGGGGGCCTTCATAGAAAGAAACTCACGTATTTCTGTTGCGTGACAAAACTGATCGGGATAAAAATGTGTTATATAATAAAACTGCGATGTTTGATGATGCAACGTTAGAGAATTAACACTATGCCAAAAAGAAGATTAAATCGATTATGCTGCTTTATTTTGAGCCGGGATGACTCAAGTGGTGTAGCTGGAGTTGTATTCCCGGCAGGGGTAAGGGATTCTTCTCTACTTCACAGGCTCCAGGCCGACCCTGGGGCCTACCCAGTTCTTCTATCCAAAGGATACCCGGGGATCTTTCCCCGAGGGCAATGCGGCAAGTGTGTGAAACTCACCTCTATCTTGTACCGAAGTCAATAATGGTGGAGCTATACCTCCACTCCCACATACGGCCTCATGGCGTGGTGCTTAGATGATTAATGCTTCATTGCTTCAATTTAAGCTGTAGAGGGCTTGTTAGTCGGCAACGGAACCAGAATTCTATAACGAATAGAGTTATGTAGCGTGCCATATTTATAGGAAAATATATGGAGCTAGAGACCGATTTGGCCTAGGCCTGCTCAGTTGTTAGACGCTTCCCAAATCGCGTTTAGGCTAGTGTAGTGACACGACTCAGTCTACCTTAATACCTCTACATTCACAGAACAACATAAAAATAGAGGAGAAATACACAAATTCCTCAAGAGGGATTCGAACTCGTGATTCCAGTGTTGGAAGCCTAAAAGCCCTGCCACTGAAATCAGCAGTGACATAGAGTGCGTCAGATGAAGCAATAAATTTTAAAGTTTAGTTAAAATGATTTAGTGATAAAGCAGTATCTGCAGACTTATGCGTTAACAACTTTCAGATTGGAGTCGGGAAAGCTCAGTCATTATATGACGAAGCTACGGACTGGAAGAACAGGGTTGGATTTCCGGCAGGTGCAAGGATTATTTTCTTCACCGTAGCGTCGAGGTCCCATCCAGCCTCATTTCCAATGTACACCGTTAGTGGAGCTATACTTTCAGTCCTCCATATGCTTTTACGGCGTGGTGCTCAAAGTAAGCACAAGAACTGTATATTTACCTGTTAGAATTTTCAGAGTACTGGGAAAGACATACTAATTTTAGACACAATACACAAATGAACTGGAATTCGAGGCATAAAAGTTCCATTATTAATAGGAAAGCCAAAGCGTTTGCGTGGTCGCCGTGGTAACCCAACCAAACACACTGTACTGTCTGTGCTTCGCTACTGCGATGTTTACTCTCAACAAAGAAGTGGATCACGTCCATAAACAAAGATTGACTTGTGGACGATACTTCCAGAGTGGACGAAAGCTCAGCATATCGGCCATCTTTATGAGTGACATGTGAAACCGACACAACGACCGATGACTGGAAAATGGGTTCACATTCCTGGTGGCGGCAGTTTCATGTCTCGTATGATGGTGTAGAATCGACAAATTAACATCGTAGTCCGTGAGTTTGCATTCATTTGGGGGGAAAATATTAGAGATCGCTTCTCTCTTCAGTGATTTAAGATTACAACTTAACCTAATATTTTAAAAATAAGTATTTGAAGCATATTTAATATGACATATTAAAATACTGACATTTGAGTACAGTATTTTAAACATTAAGAGATAATGATTTTATAAATCTGAATATTACAATGTACAATGTCGTTTTTTTATGGATGTGAAATATGGTCTCTCGCTCCAAGGGTAGGACACACAGAGGTGGAGAGTGCCTTAGAACAAGGTGCGGAAGAAAATAATTGGACATACGGAAGTGGAATTAAATGGATAACAGTGAAAACTTCATTCGGAAATCTTCATAATTTGTAATCTTAACATAGGATTGTTAGAACGATTAATTCAAAGACACTTAGATTATTTCAGTTTTACACCTTCAAAGTGAAAGAGAGCTCTGAAAATCTAGGCGTTGGTGGTGAATGATATACTACATTGATCTTAAAAAGTATAATGTGAAGATGAAAAATGAATTAAATACACTCAAGAGAGCGCCCAATTGGAAGGATTTAATCACGGTTAATCATGGTTTCCATAATGATATAAAAACATTAATAATTATCAGCGGAACAAGGTAGATTGTGTATCATGGGAACAAAGCACTCTAAACATTATAACAAACTAACGTCAAAATTTGAGAATTATTATGGTAGTAAAGGGGAGGAATTTTTTTAAAATGTAGAGACTAAGAAATAAAATATTAGTAGCATGTTCCGTAGTTCAAAAATAGAGAGTGAATGTAATATTACATTCTAATTCCTGTATGAACTTTCTAAGTCTCTGAGTAAAGTAATTGTAATGACAGGAGTAAAGAAATTTGATAAATAGGACTGATACCATGAAAATTTTACTGAATTTATTAATTATTAAAAAGAAACTAGATGCAAATATGTGCGTATATGGTAATATCACAAGCCAGATTTCTTTATAAAGAAAAATTAATTCGGATTAAAATGAAACCAATATATTAATCTGAGAAAGGCCAGTGAAGAACAGTACAGTCATGAGACAACCCGTTAGTCTTTTTCTTTCAATTTCACGCAGTAATTGAAACAATTAACGGCACTGCGCCGCATGGAACGGTTTTGTTCTCCGGCGGAAGTTGAATATACAGAAGCATTATAGCGTGTTTTCGAGGTCAATTGTTTTCGGCCTTCAGATCCGGTTTGCAGCATGAACCTCCTAGGTCTCAGTTCCTCCTGCACGAACGTCAGTGACGCACCGCCATTACCTGAATATAAGACAATTATGGACCGTTTCCCAAGCTCCTCTCCGTAGCGTTTAGTCAGAAACTTCACACGCTGCCCTTTATCTCCTCTCAGATTTCTTACCTTCGAGCCTTAAAGACACACAATAGCTTTCGTCCTTTACGCTTCAGCGTCCATGCATGGAGGCTGGTCATATTCGTGGGTCTGACTGTCCGTCCGTTCATATCTCTGCAAACTTCTCAACGGATTCTGGTAAAATTTTGCACTAGGGAGCTATACTGAAATTTATCGCTGCATTAATTTTGGTCTGAGCTCATCTCATCTCCTGTTTTTTAAGCACTTTCGAATAGAAGATTATCAAGTTTCTAGAAATAATCCTACTAAAACGAAATAAGCCTACACATAGATTTCATTAAGACCGACGGGCCTTATTCACAGCTTTCCTCGATATGGCGTACAGCCTATTTTATTAAAAGGAATAATTAATATTCTATATTTCAGTGAAGTACACAGTCTATTCTCTCATTATCAGCACATTTGCATATGCAATATAATGAACATAAAGAGCAACGCGGTATTCGAAATCGTAAATAATACATTTATAAATTTCGGACATATTCTCCGACTGAGTGAGCAGACCTACGTTTCTCCTCGTATGTACAATTTTTTTTTTTACATTCCAGAGAGAGCAAAACACTTTCCCAAAGATGCCAGTCGTATGGAGAGTCAGACGTGCATAGACCATCTAATGACAGAATCTCGAAATTATGATCACTTACATTAGAGGCGTCACTTCCTCCAGCTGTTCTGCCGGATATACTACAATTTTTTGACTTCCACGAACAGCAGATGTGAACAAGCAACAGATATTCTCTAACGTTAAGTTCGCAGATTTTGCAAACCAGAGAATCTGCATATGTTTGTATTTTTTTATTGAATATACAAATTCAATCTCTAAAAACTAATTAAATGTATGAATTCCACTGGAATATAGATAATTTTTCTTTGTGTTTCCTTAAATACACAACGTGGAGAAACGTTCCAATTAAAAGTTGTATTCATAGATCTTTATGTGCATTTCATCTACCAATAAGTAGCTGCACGTGTAATGCTATAAAACCAGACTGTTTTTATTTCAATTCAGCGAGCACTTACACTTTCGAGAACTGTGTTACAATGCAAGAACGACTGCATATCATCCTAGGATAAAAGGTAAAGTTGTCCCTGTGCTTAACTAATTAAGCACTATGACATGAAGGCGTATGGGGAGTGGATGTATAGATCCACATTTTCTCGATCTCGGCACTCGTTGGAGGTGAGTGGTCAGCTTCACGCCCTTACCGCTTTACCCCCCGGGGAAACAGCCCCCCTGTACCCATTGGGTAGGAGGCTGGGTGGACCCTAGAGCCGGTCTGGACGACGTGAAAAGAAAATTCTTGACCCTACCGCGACTCGAACTCCGAACCTTCGGTCGTCCAACCCTTAGCCAGCCGCTATACCGACCACCCTATAACGGCTCCTACCATCCTGGAGATTCTGGGTATGGCACAGAAAGCTGAAATTGAAACTGTTTCAGTATGTATCGCGTTGTGCTGATGGAAGGCCATAGAGCAGTGTAGCCCGTAGCCAGTGTCCTTGTGGCAGCAGGCTGGCTGTCTCCGGTCCGCTTTTGTCCATTCTATCGCCAGTTGTATAGTTCGCCACCGGCAGTAAGGAAGTATGAAGTCAGTGGGATAAACCAACCAGGGTGTGTTAGAAGTTGCGAGCTGTTTCCAGATATTTGGTGAGTACAAGAATAAAGAAGACTTAGCTAAATAATACTTCCCCTCAAAAGAACATCTTAGATCTTCTTTGCTCATTTAAATGGCATATAAAACTGTGGCACCCACCTCTAATAAAACACATATCATCTCCGATACTTACCTAAGAAATATCTTAAATTCGGTTCCTACTCTCAGTGAAACACCGCATCTCCATTACAGAACTGAATAGATTCATGATGTCTGGGGAAAACAGTATTTTTCTGGAGTAAAATCAGAAAGGCTGTGGTAAAATGTCGAATTGTTGAACGCAAAAGCAGGTGATGCGTGTATTTACCACAGAGAGTAAAGTATTGAGTGGATTAGTAGTTTGAAGTGCGTGCGTGCGTGCGCGCGCTCTCATTAGGTGCTATGTAACGTGTGATGTTGAGAAAGTGTCGTTAAATAATCGAAGACAACTGAGCCACGAAAAGGATACGAGTACTCAGGCGAAGAGATATACCATTGAAAGCAATGAACAATCAGGAGAGGAGGAACAATTATGTGTACTGCCGATACCAGTATGAACGGCCAGTGTTTGAAGATATTAAGTATTATTGCATAAAGACTCCGTCAGAAATATACATTTTAACGCAAATCATTGTAAAGGAGTATTTCCGAAAAGTATTATGTTGCATTGATGATCCAAGCGGCTTTGCTGAGAACGGGTATTCCCCGTTACATGGGATGCGGACACACCCAGCTGGCTTACGATACGCAAGAAAATCTCCAGTATATAAATGAGCCATCCACAAATCGTTCCATCGATCAATCAGAGAAACAGTCCACCAATCCATTCGACTCTACACCTATCACCCACACATCAGCAACACAGAGGGCACAATGGCACCTCAGCGCCTTACTACAGCGGCAACTTCTCCTGCATGTTTGTAATGCCTGTAGTCTAAACAAATATGAGACCGTGGATTTTGCACTGTGTATGGGATGTTGCTTTAGACGTGAATGACAGCATGGCAGAAAATCTGAAGCCATCGCCAGAGCGTCTGGTCTAGAAACTGATGGAATAGCTTGATGAACGGTTTCGGAGTCCTAATGAGATAAGTGAATAGTTGGTCACGTGGTAGGCCATATTATGGATGTTATGTCTCACTTGCAGCTGCGTGAAGCATATGAATGGTAGCCATTCTGAATGTCATTTTTCACATCTGGCTCGTGTCATGTTTCCATGTGTATGCACGGAAGCAGACGAAGAAACTGCATCTCAGAGACGTTTCCGGTATGATGGGGCAGACCAACTCCTAGAGTTGTTATATATTATGTTTTGGGCTAAGAAAGACGAAAATATGTCCATCTCTTTTAGAACGGTGACACTGGCGATGTGCCAACGGAAGTTGACCCATAATACGCTGCCACTGCTAAGCTGTTATGATAGGGACCAAATTATATTTTGGACCCAGCAGATAATGGGAAGACCTTAGAGAATTGGAGCTTAATAAATTTGATTTGTGAAGATTAAAGCTGAATAATATAATAATCATTGGCAAAAACAGCCATTTTTTTAGCCATAGCCCTCCTTGGATGATTCTACCAGATTTGACAATTCTTGGGAATTAGACCAACCGGTTTTCACTTCTTTGGATTTCACAACTTTTTTTCTTTTTTGCAGAGTAATGTCGTCTGCCTTACGTCCTACCCGCAACCTGGAGGATCATGTCTGTATGCCCCCCAGTGACATGGTGGCCCAGTTATACCCCCAGGAACCGGGTTCCCTTTTCGTTGTTTTCTATGACCCGCGGAGAGGAGTGATATTACGCTTTATAATTTTTATGTATGCAGACTTCGCGAAATATTAATGTTCATATTAGAGACAGCGGGGGCACGCGGTAGCGTAGTTGGTTGAGGCACAATGCTACACGCTGGAAGGTTGTAGGTTCAAGTCCCGGTGAGGTCATTTGATTTTTTCAATTGACCTAATCCTTCCAGCCGCACTATGGCCCTGGGATCGACTCATCCTCTAACAGAAATGAGTACCAGGAATTAATTAAATAATTTTTCTGGGGAGTAAACCGCGACCGGCGCGTAAGGCTGACAACCTTACCGCCATCTTTGAGCCTATTGTCTAGATAATGTGGGACCCTCAACGTCTCACAACCCCATGGGCCTTCACGGCCTGTTACAGGGATAGCTTTATTTACTTACTTAGTTACTTTTATTTGAGGCAGCAGGTTCAGTCTCAGACAATACCGCGAAATTTGAGAGGAGTGTGAAACTATGAATACGCATTGCTTTTATTTGTTACTAAACACCTTATCTGTACTACTGGCTTTTTGGACTATCCATTGTCGAGTATTCTAAAGAACACGACGTTTTGGAAACTGGGTCAGCTTCCGCCCTGAGGTGAGAGGATGGGAGGCACTTGCTCTATTGGTTCCATAAAAAATATCAAATCCAAGCCGGTGGACTGGATTAGCTCTTTCTAATGGGCTGAACAGGGTAGGTGTGTCCAACCCTCTCACCCAAGGGCGGTAGCTGACCGAGTTTCCAAAACGTTGTTCTTTAGAATACTGGACGATTGAAAAAGCCCCAAAACCCAGTGATTCCGATTGTCATATTCCAACGTCAGAACTCTCTAGAATCTACTAAACGCACTTACGTTTCATAACATACAGAATTCATCTTCTCTGTTTTCTTTTGTCAAATTATTTTTCTGAAGTGGAATTTAAAGGTGGCGATCACAATTGCCCTCCACCCCACATTTCAAAATCTAAAACTGTTACCATGAAATCCAGGTGTTTATTTCATACCCTCGAAATATATGGTTACATGACGCCTGAAAGGCGGATTAGCAGAGCCAGAAGAGATGACTTTTGCGAGGCAAACAAGTACACATGAAATAATTGAAGAACCACGAGAAGCAGTGTTTTGTGTTCTGTGCTCACGAGGTCCAGCAGCAGTCTGCTGCTGTCCTGTGTTATGCTGTGCAATTAGTTATGTTGTAATAGTTCGTAGTTATGATTCATGAATGTTCAATAAGTTCAATGTTCAATCTAAACCCCGCGTCTAGTATTTAACATATGATAATATTCTAAAATATCTGTGCCTCTGTTCAAAACATAAAGGCTAATAAGGCATATCATAGTCGGTATTGAGACTAGGCCATGAACTGAAGAACCGTGAAATGAGGGATCAGTTGCCATCAGAGGCAATAGAGTTCTCTTCTTTGCAGTTTCCAGACCGGCTCTGGGGTCCATCAAGCCTTCTAGTACAATGAGTACTGTAGTTCACTTGGTGATAAATTGGCCAGGTTATGCAGCTGACCACACACCTCCATCTAGTTCACACGAGAAAGAAGTGAGGAGCTATAACTTCCAGTCCTCTAATGCTTCTAATGGTGCACATTCCAGCAATAGTTTTACATTTATTTATATTTAATTAATTTATTTGTTTAACCCTCTGTAATATTATTCCTCCATTTTAAGTGTCCCTTGTCACCACGGCATGACATGTCCTCAACTTGTGGAAGACTGATTTTGGTGGATTTGGAATTAGTGGTATTGAACTTTCAGCTATATGGAGAATTAGTAAGTTGTACAAATCCTCAAAAGAGAAATTTATGTCCGAAATATTAACTTGCAGGGCTTCTCCTCCTTCCCATGGGATCATGCTGCAGTGGCCCGGACAGGGTGGAACCTGCCAATGAAAGAGAGGTAGAGCAAGAGCATTACATCTTTGGTACCATTTCACAAACTCAGAGTGATGTACATTTTAGGCAGACAGGTTGGAATTACTTTATTCCAAGTGATAGCTGAAACTGACTTTCTTAGATATTGCAGGTTTCGTTTATACGAGTTACTGCTTTGCTCCACGAAATAAATATCACATAGGAATTTTATTATAATTATTAACACTGTAGGCTATAGTTTGAACACTCTGCAGTTGAGGTAAAGATTTTTTATGCATTCTTTGCACATAGTGAACTCACTCAGAGTATGTTGTATCTGGCCATCTATCTCTGTTGTCATCTCACAAGGATATCACAAATTTAAAAATACAATCATTGATAAAAATAAGATTGAATATTTGACACCAAATTTGAGGCAGCTGAAGAAATCTCTGATAGTACAATGGAGGAAAATGGCATGATGGAACAAACCCACTTTCCACTCCAGCCAGATAGGGGTGTAAGCAGCAGCACAGCATAGGTCTGACAAAAAAGTTGATCCACCCTGCTTAGATCCCAAGGGGTGCTAGGTGAGGACACTAATGGGTGGGGCAAACAGCAGTATCCACAAGTTCCCTAATGATATGACTAGAAAAAGACAGAACATTGCACTCCATAAAAATAAAGATTTGACTTCATATACTTTATTCATGCTGTATTTTGTCACTATTATCACTTTGTTGGTGTACGAAACCAATCAGTCTTACTTAGACTCCAACACCTCAAGTTACTGAATCTGAAATGTTTCTATTTCTACCTATTATTATTCGGCAGGATATAATACATGTGACAGCCTGAAAGCCGATTAATCTAATGAATAGTTCTCAACAGTTTGTGGTAAGCAATGAGACATGACAGATTCCTTCACATTCCCAGATTTCTTCAGTTTTCAAATAATGACAGTGATGTTGATAATAATGACCAAATCTGTGACAGACTATGGAAACTACTCGTAAGACATATTTTTGACTTGGTGAACGACAGATATAAAAAAAAATATATTATGCCCTTTCTGAACAGCAGGTTGCTGATAAGTTCAATTAATTTCAAGAGGAGGGGAATTTTAAAAAAGCGCATGCTCAAGAAGGACACACATCTCAGAATAAAACTTTATAAATTATGTGACATGCCTGCCTACACACACATGCGCGCGGACACATACACACACACACACAATTTGGATGTTTACTTAGGGAAGGATAAGACACCTACAACTGCAAATATGGCAGCAATATATGAAAATGTAAAACAATTAACAGAAAACGTGAAAATACATGGACATATTTATATATGGACAACTTCTTTTTGTTGTCTGACTTATGCACTAATCTGAAAGAAAGAAATTAATTGTTGCAGGGCCATCAGACCTAACAAAGAATGGTATATCATAAAGCTCTGCTTGCTGCCTTCTTCATGCTGGTGTCTTACTTGGCTTAGTCTTCAACCCTGAAGATGGAGGCAACATGTTCCTCTGAAATGTCAGTTGACTTTCAGTGGACTATATGGCATTATATCACAGAAGAAATAACTCTTCATTATTAATTCTGTTGATTTTGGGTTCTCACACTCATGACTATAAAGTGTACTATCTTTCTGGATGTGATAATGTCCAACCCTGTAGAAATTCGTGACTTTTCAGAAGAGCATCTTCAGGGTGGAAAGGTAAGCTAAGCAAGCAACCAGCAACAAGGAAGCTGCAAGCTTAGTCTGCCTGCTGTTTGCTGCTTGCTAGTTACTTGCTTGGCTTAATCTTTGATCTTGAAATTAAAGATACTATTCTCCGAAATGTCAGTGAACTTCTACGTGACTACACAGTATTATATCACAGTAGACAGTAATCTTCATTACCAATTATGTTCACAGCTTGACAGCATAAGCAAGGGTGAGGGAAATGAACCAGAATTCCAAGGCCCTGTGAAGAATCGAAGCTGCACAGATGTTTTCTTCTTCATCATCATGCTACTGTTCATCACTTCACTGGTAAGTGACCCCCAATTCACCTAATGCTTTTGAAGCAAAATGCACAGTTAGATTATAATATTGTCACATGTATGGAATGTGACCATCAGTGAGTTTTGAATTCATGACCGGATTTATTGAACTCTTGGATACAGTGCATGACTACACTTTATCATTTACTATTACACACACATGTGCAAGTGCATGCGCGCGTGCACACACACACACACACAAATACATACATATATACTAGTGTCCACAGTCACGTCTTCACTGATGTTGCTTGGTAGCGGCTTCCAGTGGTGGACGTTCCCCTTTCTTAGGTTTACCAAACTCTACCCAGCCTCAGCTACCAGTTTCTAACAGCAAGAGCTCACAATGACTGAACCCCAGGAGTTCTCTAAGTACCTGCAACTGCTAACTGGTACCGGTATGGACCGTGTAGAAAATGTCTCTTCCAGTATTGCTGCATTCTGTCATTGTCGTAGAAATATGCTTGTTCATGGAGCCATTACTTAACAGTGACTGTTGTATAGTTGCTTGTTTTGTGGTTGTTGCCAAGCAATGGGTCTGCCTGCCACAATATGTACAGTACTAGAATGTTCTGCTGTTTCTTCAATATATTTTAGTGGGGAGGCTAGGCATTTGATTTTGTAGATGCTACTTTTATTGTATCTGTCCATTCATGGATGTTGTTTTATTATGTTTTATATTGTGTTCCATGTTCTAAATGCTATTTTATTTGTGTGCCTTTGAATAATTTTTGTGATTTTTCTTGTTTCTTTTCCACTGTATGTGTAAATGGCCCATTTTGTTTTTTTGGTGTTGTGTGTTGATGCCTGTTTTCTGTATCTGTGAGGCTGAATTTTTTTATTTTGTTTACATATACTTTGTCTAGAATAAAATGTCAGAAGTTCTCCTGTATGTCTAAATTTTTCAACTGTTCACTGGAACAGATGTTGACTTACATGTCATCCCTTTAGATTCAGAAAAGCAGTGATTTCTTATTACTCATCGTTTCTTCTTGTGTGTTATAGGTTGTGTTGATAATATATTGTGCTAGCAATGGCGACATCTACAGAATTATTAATGGCTATGACACCTGTGGAAACATATGTGGCCGCTATAATGCACCAGTGAAAGAATATGACAAACTAGGAGTGTGCATAGGAGAAGATATGAGCCAGAAAAAGTATGTGAAGAATCTGTAAATACAAATAACAGTAATATGTTTTGAGTGTTCTTCTGTGTGTTTTCATGATAGGACTGAAAATTACATAGCCCAGTATTTGTGTATTTCTGTGTAGGCATGGTGGAAGGAGAGAGATGGACATTGGGGGGGGGCAGAGAAATAAAATGTGTGAAAAATATGCAGTGACAGCTTCCCTCAGCTGCATTAATTCAGATAAAAATTCAGCATTCCATAGATATCTGTGTCACCACTGTCAGAGAAAGATGTGATGGGTAACAACCATTGGTCAATTTGTGTTTAGAAATCCTACCAAAGTTCCTCCTTCATGTACAACCATTGACCTAAGAAAGATTACTGAACAGAAGCAAGTGTAAATCAATCTCAACATCTAGGTGATGCTGAGTGCTGCTACACCTGGACATCGAATCAGAGTAACTCAGCTTGTGTTGTCCTGAATGAATGTTATATCATTTCTGTTGTGGACATCATTTGGTTTCCTGAAGTAGGTAACTCTTTAAGGAGGATGTTGGTGACCAGGTCCTAGGGCTGATATGAGACATACAGACATACCCTCCAGATTATATTTTCATTTGATGTAATTTTTACAGAAAACAAAGAATATGGGTTATGAAATTCATCAGTGTGATTAAACTGTTAACAGGTTACTTCAGATATCTTGGACTGGTCAAGTAACAAGAACCTGCGTGGACATGTGCAGTGAACAGCGGTGAGTTTACTCATTTCAGATGTGTGTGTGTGTGTGTGTGTGTGTGCGTGTGCGCAGCTGTGTGTCTTAAATACTGTGTGCTGAAAACTTAATCTTTACTTTCCAGTGAACAAATATTTAATCGTTGCATTGAAAAGGCTGGTACAGGAACAGACAACACAGTATCAAGAACAGGATTTAAAAATTTCTTCCAGGTCAGTTATATAGAGGAAAGTATATCTTTCTACAGATTAAACAGATCTCAGTATGTGTATTAATTTCACTGTGAAACTCAGTGGTAATAGAAATCTGAAGTTCAGCATCATTAACACCAAATTCCACCATCTGACATAATGCTAATCTACTTCTATCCACAACCCATATGAAGGATTACTTGTTTTAGCTGCTTCTTATTTAGGCAAGTTCCATTTGAGACATAATTAGCTGTGAGAAATGCTATATTCATTCTCTTAAGATTCCAGTATTTTTGTCTTATGCCTAGTATACAACAGAGTAATGTAAAACTTTGTACCATATTTCATAGCGTCTTTTGTTTCTTTATGTTGCAGGAAGTTTCAGAAGATCTGGAAATGAGCTGGAGAGAGATTCTGTACCTGTGTCTCATTGCTTTTGGTAAATAACAGTAATGCGCAAGAGCTGCTCAGCCCTTTGATAAATAAGAGTGAAAATCTGTACTCTAATTTTAAACATTTTTACTAATTTTGTTTTGTGTAATTTTTCATCTCTTGTTGATCTTGGTGTCTGTGCATAGCATCTATAGATATACAGTGAACGAAAGTTAATTAGCAGTAAAGATATCATACATAGGCATAAATTCTTCAGTTGATATGGCAAAGGCAGTAAAGTAAGATAACATCCTCTCTTGTGCAGGATTCTCTCTTATTCTTCTCATCCTGTTCCGCTATGTTGTTGGTATCCTTGTTTGGCTAGTGCTGATAGGCGTCACTCTGGCTTGTATTGGTGGAACTGTTTATTTATGGTGAGTACTTTTGATACACAGGTAAATACAATTTATGCAATAGTCAGTACATAACAGATACAGGTAATGTGATTTATTCAGTAGTGAATACATAGCTGTTACAAGTAAATATCAAAGCTGTCTACAAGCACTGTGAGATAAAGGCATACAAGTGGCACTGCAGTGAAGCTTCATGCATTCTTGAACTTTGGGACTATAAAGAGGTTCCTTTAAAATAGATTCTGCTATTCTTATTGCAGGATTCTCACTAATGTTTTTATGTTCCAGGATTTTGTGGAAGTCTAAAAAAGATGGACTGAAGGATAAAGAGGTCAACACAGATGTTGCAAGTCACCTAGCATATGCTATTGCTGCTACTATTGTTACGGTAAAACATGAAAACATAAAAGTCTGTGTCATTTGACATATGACATTCTCAGAGATTCCCTGGCATCACAGGTTACTGAAATCATCACTGTAGTAACAGTAACTGAATTCTCAGTTATTTATGTAATTGCAGCAATTCAATTTTCAAAATTGTGTTTGTAACAGTAATTTAATTTTTTAAAGTTTATGTTTATTATTAAATAAATGCAATTCTGCTCCTCAGAAAATAGCTTAAATTGTCATACTAGTTTATAGGTTTTGGAAGAATGCTGTATTAACTTCACAGTTTATGCCTTATCAAGTGATGGTTGATACAGTTAACTGACAAACATAGAAAAACCAGGTATGCATGAAAATTGCCCTATACAGCTGAAACCATAGTTTTCCTAGTATATATCTTTAACATTTGAATACTTAATTTTCTCATGTAATTGCTCCTTAGTAAAGTTAGCTAGAAACTTTCAGAATCTTCACATAGAAATATGTTAGTGCCCACATATATAAAATTATATGTACGTATTTATCAACTGAAAAGTTTTCTTAAATTTGTCATGATTCTAACTCTGTTATATTGGATTTTCCTCAACTTTGTAATGTTTATATTTAGCTCAACAGCAAATTCACTTTTGTTATGAAGACAAGAGATTCATAATCATGATCACAAAATCACACCACCAGATCCTATCCTAAGACAGTTCAGTCCAGCTCACATTGTCACAATCTGTTTCTCTAAATAAACTCTCTCCTAACAACATATCGGTATAGAAACTAGGTTGTTCCAATGAGGGAGAGATTTAAAGTTCTCACAGTAGTTAATATCGATATGACCTGGAATATGATGTTGTGTAGTTTGATAGTTAGGTGAGCTGCTCTTTGCATTATTGGCTGTCTTGCTTTGCTAGGTTTCCCAGTATGGTTCTCTCATCCCTTATGCATTGACATCACCTCCCCTACCTTTCATCCTCAGTGACACCAAGTCATGTGATTCGTTCTCATTAATTTTATCTGTAATTTCTGAGACTGAATATATCTTTAGTGCACAAAGCTGCTTACCCTCTCTTCTCCAATATATCAGCATATGAGCGAGATATAATGTTAAATTACTGTTTGGTATGTTAGTCTGTGATGGCAGAAGAAGCCATGGAATTATGTTACGCTTCCGTTCATTTCAAGTTGTCATCAACAGAGGGGGGGGGCTATTTTTCCTTTTTTGTACAGGCACAACTTAGAAGCAATTGTGCAATTTTAATGGGTTCACAACAGGGAGGTAATGGCATTTGGTTTGGTTTTTGGCAATGTAAGCCCATTTATTATTTTAAAATCCAATTTTCCTTTCATTGAGACAGCACAAATTCTAGAACAGTATAAGTTGTGATACTGAAGTCATTACTGCACAGTGCTGCTGTTCTTTGGAGAACTGTGTGAATATTAAATGGTGTTTGGTAACACTTTTGTTGTATGCATGCTATTTACTGGTTTGTTGCTCATTGAGGAAGTTAATTTTTTCTTGATTTATATGGAGAAGTAATTTTCAACTGCAACCACATAATGTTCTAATGTAATGTAAGCCACTTCTTGTTTTAGAACAAATAAACCTTGGGTCAGCTTTGTTGCTAAGCATGGAAGCTTCAGAACTTGGATCATTGTGCTCCTTGAAATATCTTCATTCAGAACATGGAGGCTATGTAACCCGGGTGGTTAGGCAACATGTGGCAAGATGGGATCAGTCCTGTTACAGAACAGGAAGGGCTGTGTATAAATGTTTATGACAAATGTAATTCTGGCACCAATTGTTTCTGGTTGTATTTTGGTTTGCTGTAACTCTACCTGTGAGTCATTCTCATGGGTAATTACCTGTTGGTAGTGTGGTTAACTCAGTGGTGTAATAGTCTCTGCTGTTGTGTTTGAAAAAGTAGTAGCTACCCTACCTTCAATAGTTGGACATTTCATGTAATTATGAATGTGAACCAGTCTGAGTTTTCATTTCCATTGTCTGTGTATTCTAGTCAGAGAATTCCTCAAGTGGTTATATTCATATTTATTTATTGGTTGTTAAAATGCATTGCTGTTAAAATATTAATGCATTCTTCTTCTGGCAGAGTAGTAATCTCTTAAGCCTATGTATGTTAACATTTCTTTCTGGTAGAAGAGTATCCTCATAAGCCAAACGTATGCTTGTATGGGACAGGACTCTTGATTGTTTGCTAATAAGTGATATGTATAGTCTCTCTAGTTTGTATTTAGGCATTCTGTCCATCTTGGTAGTATGATGCCAACAATAAAATCAGAGGTGATAAGATTTGCCTGCCTTTGTTTTGAGTACAATGTAGTGTCTCAGGTAGGTGGAGCATTCATCTCATAGGTACCACCATTTCAGAGGAATGTAACATCTCATCTGTCTCGAAGTTTGACTTCGCAGGTTCCCCTATAACATTAGTACCTGTCTACCAGACTATCAAACTATACTGTGGTATGTCTCGGAAGGATGTTCTCCATGTACATTTTCGTTTGTTCTGGCTACATATCCTTCCCATATTATTTCTCATGAATCATATCAGCGATATTACATGTAGGCTATGAAATTTAAAACGTTTTATTGTGTAATTTCCTCTATCCTGTTACTCTGGCAGTCAAATGTTCAGATGTCCTCATTTAAACTTTTTTCTCAGAACATTTGCAATCATTCTTCCTTCAGAGTTAGAGAGAAGTTTCACATTGAGCAAAGGTGTAATTAAAGATTCATTTAATTTTTCAGGTTATTGTGCTGCTGGTAATTCTGGTTATGAGGAAACGTATCAAACTGGTGATCCAGTTGTTTAAAGAGGCTGGGAGAGCCATTAACAGCATGCCACTGCTGCTTTTGGAACCCCTACTGGTAACTGATCATAATCTGATACTTTAGATATATTGTAAGGTTTTCCCAAAGGAATACTTGTTTGGAGAGATGAGGAAAACCATGAAAAATCCCAACAGGTGAATCGCACAAGTGGAATGCTCTGTCACTACTATATACGTCTTTTGAAAAATTCTATCATTATTCAGACCCCGGAATTTTAGGGATTCCACTGATGGACTAATGTGTTTGTAATCACTTCATTTACACTGGCTATTCACAACTGGTTTAACAAATCAGAACTCTGAATTAAGTTCCTCTATTTCCTGGTTATGGTATCTCTTTCATACAGGATATATAGATTTAGTGTCATGACCCTGCCTTCTGGAATTAGGTAATATATTTTCTCCAATCCAGATGTAATGGTTATACAGCCATGACTAAATCTTTGGAAATTTGGTAGTGACATTTCCATCACATAGGATATAATAGTTACATCATCATGCCTCATACCCTCCAAAGCTTTGTTAATGAAAATAAGGTGCACCAAATACAGGTGAGGTTGGCATTATAGTTGACTTTAAGGGAGAAACTTTAGTTATGCATATAAAACAGTACACATTAATTAATTAATAACCAAATAAATAACTAAACAAACAATAATTCATTAATAACCAAATGAATAACTAAACAAACAAGTAAATAATCTAAAACCAAACAAAGAAACAATTAAACAACTAAACAAATAAATACCCACAAAAACAATTAAACAAACACACTCAGAAACAAATAGACACACACTGAAACTGATAAACAAACAAACAAATAAATAAGGTGCAGTATGGATTATAATGATGTATATTGAAGCTCAGCCAGTTATATTCATACTGACCACAGATTGTGAGATTTGAAGTTTTCATGGCAGTGGCTGTGAAGATTACTACAGCTTCTTCTGGGATGTGACACTCATAGTCTGCTAAAAGTTCAACATTGCATTTGAGGAATAATGCCTTCATATTCATGGTAGAAGATGAAGGCAGCCTGTTGCTCTTAAACATTAGTAAACTTCTACCAGGCTACACGGTGTCAGGGGACAGTAATCTTCATGATCATTAATTGTCTTCATATTGTACAATGTAAATCTGAATTTTTATTACAGACATTTGTCGCACTAGGGGTGGTGGTAGCTGTGTGGCTTGTGTTCAGCCTTGTGATTGAAAGTTCTGGTTTCTTTACTCCCAGTAATCCAGCTTCTTTTGAAAAGAATCTGACTATGAAGGTAGGTAAAGTTGCATGTTAAAATATACCTGCAGTTGGAGGTAAGGTTTTGTGCAGAGGGAGAGGAGAAGTGTGTTCCCTACGATCCCTTGAATTTTTTATCAAAAGAGAACTTGTTTCATGGATCTATTTGAAGGGAGTTTCACACACCCAAACACCTCACTTTGAACAATATATGGAATGACATTTTATATTTGCTGTAAAAGGCAGTTAAAGCTCTATTTTGAGTGAGGCTGTGGGTTTACTTGAAAGAGACAGACTGGTGATCAAGGAACGACTGTTCTGTTAGAGGTTAATTCATTTATGAATCTAAGTAGCAGATAAATAACTCTCCAGTGATGCTGCAAATGAATCTGAACCACTGATGTTGCAGTGTCATCATTATTCTTTCATACTAAATCCTTATCCACACAGTTCTCTTATTGTTAGTATAAAGTCATTGTGCTGTTAGGAACACATACAGAATAGAGATAAAGACTATTGTTAATAAGAACTGAGGCCCGAGATAGACAAGTCTGGTATTAATGCAGTTCTTTCTTTCCCACTACTGTGCAGACAGACGCAGAATAAAACAGATGTGGTATGAATATTTCTTTGTGCCTATTATGAATAATAATTTACAACCATTAGCATAGATACACATGAAATCTTCCCCCTTTAGTCTGAGATAGCTTTTATATATATCATGGTAGAGTTATTTGAATAGTGTTATAATAGTCTGTAGGATTATCTGTCACATTTCAAAATATTTCATATCTGTTCACAATATATGTATGAGGCAGAATCAGTAAATAGGTCTCAAATGGACAAAACATAAAACATGTGATTTTCATTTCATGCCTCCTGTTGTGTTACAATATACAACCTTTTTATCATATCCATCACAACACAACTAATATCAAGATCAGACCATTTTTGGCTATTGATAGCCATCATCAGGCAAACACATGATTTACACACATATACACACTACTGAACCACAGCACCAACAAGATTGGATACAATATTATTAAAATATATAAAAACACTTGATGTAAAAAATACAAAAATCAAGTTATATAAAACATAAGTATGATATAAAATAATAAAATTCTTTTTNCCAGTCTTATTGGTGCTGTGGTTCAGTAGTGTGTATATGTGTGTAAATCATGTGTTTGCCTGATGATGGCTATCAATAGCCGAAGCATGTAGCAGGGTCGAAAAAGGTCTGATCTTGATATTAGTTGTGTTGTGACGGATATGATAAGAAGGTTGTAAACATATGATATTCGAACCTGGAAAGAAACATTTATTTCTCGACACATCTTCCACAAAACACTGATACACTTGCCTTGTCAACTATTTTTATTATTTTTATTTTATATTATATGACTAATCTATTGTTTTTGATTGTTTTAATAAGTGAATTTTGTATGATAACTGTCTCTTCTATATGCATTTTAATTTGACGCACTTGATTAATGGAATGAGTAATGAATGAAAGTCTTAATGGAAATTTTATTTTAGTCCATGAAAAATCTTGATAAATTTCTTGATCATTGTTTAAGGTGTATTATAAATATTATAAGTTTTTACTTCATTTAATTGCAATATTACTGTATTATTGTATAGATACTATGTATTCTAACTTGACTTGTTCCATATCCCATGGTGTCTCGCCTGTACTGGATTTACGGAATGTAAATAAATTCAATTCAATTCAATTCATTGCTTTACCAGTGCACTGAAACCTACAGCATAGAAGTCTTTGGACTGCTGTCTCAGCTACTTTCGCACTTCTGTGTCAACCTCTTCATCATCAGCGAAATGTTTGGCACCAAGGTGGTTTTTTAGTGGCCCAGGCAGATGCAATTCACTATGAGTCAAGTCCAGGCTCTAAGGCAGATGTTCGAGTAATTCCCACTGTAGTTCTTGAATTCTCTTCTGGGTTTCTCAGGCTGTATGGGGTCTGGCATTTTTTTTTCTGCTTAGTGCGGGGTGGAGTCCAACTGGGTCCACTTAGCACAGCAACGACTGATGGGCCTGTTGTAGCCTGCCCCGGGTGATTATGATGATGGAGAATTTGGTGGAATGAAGATTGGCAGGGGAAACCGAAGTACTCAGAGAAAACCCGCCCCAGCACCACCTTATCCACCACAAATCCCACTTGACCATACCCAGAATCGAACACGGGCCACCGTGGTGGGAAGGGAAGCCAGCGACTAACCGCTTGAGCTATGGCGCGACCCTTGGAGTCTGGCATTGTCACGATGAAGCAGTACCCCTCTTGCCAGTTGGCATGAATGTTTTCTGCAAATTGCATCCCAAAGCTTCAACAGAACATCACATTATAATGCAGAATTCACATTTTCACCACACTTCTGAAAATGGGCTAACAGTACTCCTTAAGAATCCCAAAACACGGCAAGCATAACTTTCCCAGCTGTTTCTAGTTGAAGTTGAACTGAGATGTTTCAGTTGCATTGAAGCATGGTTTGATTAGGGTTAGTAGTGATGCCCTTATGATATGTCCCCAGTAACAATCTTATGTATTAAGCATATCTTCTTTTTCAGCTGCATACCATAATAAATGTTGTATTTGGCCCATATTTTCTTGATAATTCAGTTTTCTGGGCACCTACTGTGTGCATACTTTCTGAAACTTTAAACGATCAGGCATTATGCTGTACGCTAAACCATGAGAACACCCCAGTGCAGTTGCTACACTGTCTGTCATTGTCCTCTGTCATCTCAGATCAACTCTTCTGCCTGCTGCACAGTTGCTTCTGTCACAGTCTCAACGGGTTGACCTGGTCAGGCATGATCTGTGACATTTGAACGTCCTTGAGAGAATTTGTTGACCCAGTTGTGCACCTCTTTACACAACAAACACTTCTCATCACAACAGGAAACATTTCTTTATGAATATCCTTTGCACTGAGTCCTTTTGCAAACAAAAATCACACAACAGAACGCTGCCCTTTGGTAGCATACTTCTCAAGTACGGTTGCCATTTTGAGTACTGAAACCATCCTTTGAACATGCGCAGGTGCATCTGCTACCTAGACTTTCATGAAGCTGGACTGTGCTGCGATCTAGTGATACACATAGAAAACCCACTACATCAATTTCATCTATTTTATTTTAATTTGTGACCCATCTACTGACTCATATCCTATGTTTATACCGGTTTTCATTACAGGTAACCTGCTGGTACAATTTGCTGGGACTTTTTTGGTTTGTACAGTTCTGTATGGGCTGCCAGCACATGATAATTGCTGGTGCAGTCGCAAAATGGTTCTTCACAAGGTATATGCAATTACTAACAGAAAGACAGAATTTGTGAAGTAAGTTGATTAGCATATTTCAATTTATATACTACCTTGCCACTTGGTTGCTAGTCAGTGGGTGGTGAGTTCAGCAGTAGGGTTGCTCTGGACAGGCTTCCTGCACCAGCATAACTTTCAGCATTGATGTATTATTCCACAACGACATAAAAAAATAAAATATAATATGACACTCTAATAGTGCCATTGTTTCCTGTTCTGAATTTGTACAGTCAGGTTTACAACCACATCATTTTCCGAAGATGTTTTATTATTAACTTCCATTTTCTACTCAAATTTCCAATTACCCAGTTTCCTAAAGTAACAAAGAGTTATATGTAACTTGAATCTCTATGTCATATGTTTTCTGTTAGGAATAAGAGCAACCTGGGTTTCCCCATCTTAAGAAGTTTCTCTAACCTTGTACGCTACCATTTGGGGACAGTGGCAATGGGGTCTCTGATCATTGCCCTGGTTCAGCTCATACGCTCCATCCTTGCGGCCATCCAGTATCAGCTCAAAGGTCAAGAGAATGCAGTCAGCAGATGCCTGTTCAGGACATGTCAGTGCTGCCTCTATTGCTTTGAGAAGATCCTCAAATATCTTTCACGTAATGCATATATTGAAACAGGTATGTGATTACCAGGGTTCAGTTTTGACTGTTATGCATTGTGTAGCAGTTTGTCTGACTATTTGACAGAGTGTAATATATGAGGGTCATACTGAAAGTCATGAGCAACAATTTTTTGTAAAGTAACATGCTTTATTATTGACAACCCAAATACACCACCTCAATCTACAGACCTTTCTTTATTTTTCCACATAATCACCACTTCTTTGTACACATTTCTCCAAGCGTTCTGGGAGTTTGAAAATTCCCTTTCTGTAAACTTTCGTTCCAGCCATCAGAAGACACTGATGCACTGCTTTCTGAATTGCCTCCCTTGTCCCAAAATGATGTCCACGCAGCTGATCCTTCACAAATCTGAAAAGATGGTAGTCGGAGGGTGCCAGATCGGGGCTATAGGAGAGGTGTGGAAAAACTTCCCACCCCATCTTTGCAATTGCTTCCAATGTGAGGCGAGTGGTGTGGGGGCGAACGTTGTCATGCAGGATGATGATGTTTCATCCCGGACATTTATCGTGCAATGCACGATGGAGCTTGTGCTGTGTCTGGACATAACGAGCAGCATTGATGGTTTGCTCAGTTTCCAGGAATTTGGCCAGAATAAAACCCTCTGCATCCCAGAAGACTGTGCCCATCACCTTCGGAGCTGATGGCACTGTCTTTGCCTTCTTTTTTGATTGAGAATGCAGATGGTGCCATTCCATACTCTGCTGTTTCATTTCAGGCTTGAAATGGTGAAACCAGCTTTCGTCACCTGTCACAATACAGAGAAAAAATCATCGCCTTCATGTTGATATCTCTGCAGCAGTTCTGAAGTGATGACTTTTCGCTGACCTTTGTGGTTTTCGGTCTATGACTGCGGGACCCAACGAGCACCAACTTTCCTATAGCCCAAGCTTTCAATCATCTCCTGTACTGCACTGTGCCCTATTCCAAGTTTTTGGGCTATTGTGTCCACAGCCACACGCCTGTCATCTTGAATGATCTCATCCACTCTTTCCTTGTTGCATTCAGTTGAGGCTGTTCAAGGACGACCGCTGTGAGGCTCACCTTCGATGCTGGCGTTCCCATCTTTAAAATGTTTCACCCATCTTTGAACACTGCTTGCACCCATGCGCACACACATCCATAAGCACGTTGAAGTCTCTGGTGAATTTCTGCAGCAGGGATTTCCTCTTTCACAAGAAATTTGATGACAGCATGCTGGCAAAATGACATGGTTTTCGGCCATTTTGTTAGGAGTGATACTGGTCATGTGATGCAAGTTATTGACATCATAAGACATTCAAGGTTAACACAACAGCTGGTTCCACCTACCACCATACTCTCTTTCGTCTGCTGTTCCCAGGTTGCATGCAAAAAAAAGTTGCTCGTGACTTTCGGTATGACCTACGTATTATTATTCACATTAATGTAAAGCCAAAAAGATTTGTGTGCTGATAAGTCTTTGAAAGTAATAACCTTACATTAACATCTCTTTTTGGTGAAATGTAAATTAACAGTATAAGAACTGTGTGATTCTTTTAACATGGCACATGAAATTGGTATGTTATTCTTTCTTAAATAACAATTTTCTAACTATGTAAGTTTATCATTAAAGGTTCATTATAGTTGAATGATGAACTGGAAATGACATGTACTGGAGCAGTCATGCTGTATCTTAAGATACTATCTCAGCATTTGTGTACAGGGACAGAGAGAATCTGAAAATCTTTTCTTGGTGTGGGGTGAGATTGAGTCCACTTGGTTCATTGGACATTAAATGGTCTGTTGTACCAGCCCCAGATAATAGGTGAACATGGAGCACTTGGTGGAATGAGGATAGGTGGGGGAAAACTAAGTACTTGGACCAGGTTAACTCCAGTCCATTTTGTCCATTTTGTCCATTTTGCAGCACTCTTTGGATACAGCTTTTGTCAAGCTGGACAACGAGCCTTCAAGCACCTGTCATCTAATGCACTGCGAGTTGCAGCCATCAATTCTGTTGGCGACTTTGTGCTCTTCCTAGGCAAGGCTCTGGTGGTTATTGCAACAGTTCTTATTGGCATCAAAATGTTTGATGTAGGTTACTAACATTTCATGTACAAACTGTTCTTTGCTATGCTTAATGCAGTAACACTAAATATACTCTGCTGTACTTAACATATTAAAATAAAAGGGGATTTAAATTAAATGAATTGATATCATGATAAGTAAGTATAAGATGTGTGTACAGGAGTCACAATGTTGTGACTGGCTGGCCTGCTGATATTTGAGGACATAAGCATCTCTGTATCTCGTACTGGTCAGTGGGCTGGTGGAATATTGTTAAATGTCAAATTGTTGGATTTTGATAAAGTATTTTTTTATTATTAGGCTACTTTATGACACTATTTCAACTGCAGAGGTTATACAACATCAAATGATGATGCTAATGAGTGGTGATTATGTAACAATTTAGGAGGAGGCTGTTGTGTATTTGTGTGGTATCTTGGCATTTGCATGAAGAGACTGAAGGAAAACACAAAAGCCTCACGCATAATTGCTAGTAACCATTCTGATATTTGAATATGATCCATATCATATACAAGTCTACAATATTGCTATACTAAGTGATGAATTTAGTGCACAATAGATCGTTGAAGTTCACAGTGCAAGGGCTGGTCTAGGCCTATCCCTTATGCATTCATTCAAATGATGAATTCAGAGACTGATAATTTCTCTTGAAATGTTGAAAACTCAGCATGCTGCAAACTGGTGTCATGACCCAAAATTGGAAACACAGTTCACATTGAAGAGTACATTCTTCTAAGTGACTGCCAAAACTACACTGGGTTACAATCCAGACAAATTACTCTTCATAGTTACTACCATGAGAGCCTTAAATCTAATGTCTCATTTTAATTTCAAATAATGAATATGAAGAGTCCTTACTTGAAACCAATCTGCTATGGCAAAACTACAATTCTGATGTCATAATGATTCAGTGTAACAGATTTAGGACACAGCAATAATGACTGTATGCAAAGAATGTGTCTGGGAGCTCAAAACATAGTGCATACAAGTTGACATTTGTAATTCAATAGCATATGGTTTCAAATTGGCATATATTTCACAGATCCAGTTGTATATTCCACTGTAATGTGATGTACCAGTTGCTTATGTCAAATGTCAACAAAATGACTACTGATGAAAATCTCTTGTTTTCTAATATATATATATATATATATATATATATAGGTATCGAAGTTTTCATAGTTTCTGATTTTATGCAGAAGGGAATAAAATTTAGACATTACTGTCAGAATTTTGCGTAAACTTATAGTTTCAATCATGCAATCAAGCAATATCATTTTCTTGAATTCATATTAACCACAGCTGCATCTGACACATCTCACATAGTTTCTATCTTCAGGTTTTCTTTGACGAGGTATTACACAGGAAAATGCATATTAGTTATGGGTCTTATGATCAGCTACATGGTTAAAGAATTTTACAGTAACTGAAAATCAACAGACAGACTATAAGAACTTAGAAATCATGGGGAGGATGTGTAAAATTTCCTTCTAGTATCCATTCAGAGGACTATATTATTCATTTCCACCTGGAGGAGGGGGTCTATGATAAACCTTGAGTGTGTACATGCGTGCATGTTTGTGATCCTGTTGCGTACTTCAGTTTGTATTTATCCTCTGCTTTTAACACTATCTATTACAGGCCTTTTGCTTTTCACATTATTCCAAAATTCTTCTAGGTATTGTTATAATTATGTGTTCTAATCATTATAGAAAATCCATACCACTGATTTTCCTCTGTCAGGCAACCATAAACTCAATTCTGTTATGTCTCATTTATCTCTCACAGGACAAGCCTGGTATCCGCCATGTATGGGTACCATTGGTTCTGACTGGACTTTTTGCCTATCTTGTTGCTCACTGCTTCATAACTGTATATGAGGTGAGAAAATAACTGCTTTATTTTTGGGTTTTGTAAACATTTCCACTGCATTGTTAGGGAGGGGTTCTGACTGCAAACTTGAAACTTAAATCCTATTATACCAGGAAACCATTTAACTCTTACTGGCAAGCTTAGTGTTACAGGTTAGGAAAAACTTACCAGGCTACATTTATTTTAATAACATGAAAGAACCTGACAACAAGAGTCTTAAGCATAATCCAGATCACATTGTAATAGGACCAGCAGAACCTGCCTTACTGGCTAAATCAGTTCACTGGCATAAAATATGTTTAACAAGTGAAACGACAAGTTAATTTGTGAATGTATGAACAAGGACTAAAGTTAGGTAGTTAGAAACATGTTTTCCTCTGGGACTAGATAAATTTATCCGAGAATTTTAATGGCATAGGCAAAGTTGTCATTGTACTGCTATGAAAACATAGAGGGTCTGTAGGTCTAGATTCATATTCCAGTGGTTGGCATTAGAATGAGGTGAGTGGCTACCTGCATACCTTATGTGTCTGGTTAGATACCAGAGAGAACAATCCCAGTGACCCTACTGGGACTTAAGCCATGCTGCCTTTCAGCCTGCAGTCACTGTTATGGTTCAGTTGTGTCATCCTCTAAAGCAAGATTCATTTGGTTTCAGATGGCAATAGACACTATTTTCATTTGTTTCTGTGAGGACTGTGAACAGAATGATGGACTCAATCAACCATACTACATGAGCAGAGGGCTTATGGTGAGTCAGTTAAGGACTATGATCCCTTTGATTTGTGATGCTTTGAAGTAAACCAAACTCTCTGTAATAATGTTTCTAATCAGCATTGCCAGAATGTAGCATTGGACAGTGTATACTAAAAATTCTCACATGTATTTCATTTTAAATTTTAATAAATTTGTCATGAACTGCTATAATACTACACTGCCCTCAAAAATGTATCAATTCCCAGTTAACTTTTTTCATAAAGGGTTAATGGAAGGAAAATATCAGTTTACCAGGCTGTAAAATGAAGTTCTTTTTCTATGTTTTCATTCAAAATATGGATATCTGATATCTGAAATGCCTCATATCCACATTTCTGCAGAACATAATATCCATATGAAGATATTTTCAAAGCAGTAATTGTTTTTAATATAAGGAAGTAAAATATACAGATTAGATTTGTAATTTTTGGAGGTGCCAGTTTTGAGGGGGAGCATAGTAAGTCAGTCAGGATTACCAAGGTTCCTCTGTGTATGTGTATACGAGTATATGCATGTGTAAAACTGCAGAACAATGAATTTGGAAATTTTGTTGAAATAAATCTCATTATGGCCCTGTTGATCATTATATCCATATTCTATTTAGGAGTTTGTTCAGAACAGCAAAAAAGCTCTGGCTGTGTTGGATGCATCTAGCATGCCTCCAAGCCAGGCATGGAGTACCACGTCTACTAGACAAGCAGCATCTGGCAAGTGATACATCTGCCATTGAATGTTACCTGTTATTAGACTGAAGAGGAAATGGCAGGCGAGAGCCACAGCCTGCAGACATGGAATGTACATTATACGAGTACAACCACATTATACAAAGACTGATAATATAGCAAATCATTTTGTAAGTAAGAGAGAAGTAAGTGGTGACAGCATGTAACATGTTACCCAGATCTGTCTGAAGCTTGGAATTTATTTTTTCATCTCTGTGCCTAAAATTTATGTCTGGTGACTGGAGGTCCAGTGTTGGCTGCAGCAAATTTCTGCTTGAGAACTGCTACTTAAATGACAAGCAGAATGAACCCAAGAACTATGTTTATTCTATAGGGTCATACCAGATTCATATTCTAACATGCTTGTTTTCATTTAATTTTGTATTGAAGAAGTTCTCTGCCTTACTTTGATGATGATGATGATGGCCACTGTCATGCCGCCGCCACCACCACCACCACCACCACCTAATCCTAACAGTAGTGGGTGACATGTATAAACCTTTAAGTTCCTCTACTAATTGTAGGCTTTCACGGTGGTTAATTACTGATGTTTCAAGGGTACATGCTACCTCCATATTCTGGGTTGACCCTGAAGATGGAGGCAGCAGGTACTTCTGAAATGTCAGCACCATCACCTACAGCCACATGGTGTGACAATCCAAGATCAGAATTAACACCATGAAGTTCTTTGTTATGCACATACTTCCCTCAGAGTACGATGTCATGTATCATATCATGTAAAGTTACTGTTTTGTATGTCCTGATGTCTGTTTTTTTTTTTTTTTTAGCAAACAGGATGTGATAAGCTGATGAGTTGAATAACAGTAGACCTTTCAGTTTTTCAATAATAACCATCATCTTTATTATTATTAGAACTGTTTACCTATATGCATTTTACAAAGGCATTTCTTTTTCCCATTAAGAACCTTTCACACTTTGTGAAGAAAATGTCTGTTGACTGCATGTGTGTATTAATACAATTCTTAGAAGTTTGCCATTGAAGCAATACTTCACTCCTGCATATGAAAGTATGTTATACCAGATTTCACCTTTAAAACTCAATTTGTATATGACGTGTTCATTTTTTTTACTAATCACTTCTATTGATGGAATGTGAGGCCATCAGTATGCTTCTGTAATAAGAACTGTTTCTTAACAGAGTGTAATTTTACAGTTTTATAGATTACAGAAGATGAGTATTAAAATATACATGTTCTGACTAGTTCTACAAAAATATAATTCCCCACCAAGTCCTATCTCCTGACAATAACCAACAGTGCCATAGAAACTGCATGCAAAGTTTCTTAATGATTTCATACATATTTCATATTGGTTCTCTTGCACTTACTAGAATAGTGCTGAGTTTGAAAATTTATATAAAACAGTAAAGTCATACTGCTTTAGATATATGGGTAAATTCCTGTCTGCTGTTTATGTTTTCTCCAAAATATTACTCTTTCAGCAAGCCACAGTACTGTGAACTTTAAGCAAGAGCCACAGAACTGCTCCAAAGTACAAAAGCCTCAAGTCTAATTTGGTGCTGTGATTCTTGGAAGAGATAAAGCCCACTGGTTTCACCATTGGAAGTTATTTAGTGTAGTTAAGAGTCCAGGATTGTGGTTATATTACTGGTATCTTTATAGTTTTTGAAATTAAGAACACAAGATTCTGAGAGTTGCCCATAACACTGACAAAAACAGCATCTAGGAATGAAAGTAAATGATTTACAATTAACTAAAACAAAAACTCTCGAAAGTGTAAGTCTTTCAAAACATAAGATCAAGCATAGAAAAATCAAATTATGAAATACTTCTAAGTTTACTATCTATAACATTTTTGTACTTCTTGCCAATATTTACACACCTGAATAATTTTTCCTTGCTTGTATCAGATTTTCCTAATAACAAAGTGTCTTGTCTTGTCCATGTTCAAATTTCCACTTATTTGGGAATGGCAACATAACAGAGACATTCTCCATTCTATGGAATATATGATGACATATACTTTGTCTAGAACAGTGAAAAGCGCTTCAAATCGTGAGACAGACTTCCATATTTATAAAAAATTAAAAATTCTTTCCTTGTATCATATCTGTATGTACTCTGATAAACCACTGCAGATGTAAGGTTTGACACACTGAAAATATATGTATAGCACGTTGACAAAGAGAAATCCTTTTAACTTTACTGTACATAAAACTGTTTCAGTTTAAATCTGTAATAAAGCTGTAAGAATAACACCAATAAAATGAAATTGGGAATCATGTAATGGATGATTAGCACAGAACATCATTTCATTCCTATACACTTCTGTCCCACAAGTTAAAAAAAAGATAGCTACTTTCTCTTTCATACTGATCCTTTGAATTAGTAAGATGATATGCACAGCTAGGAAGTAGACATGATACATCAGCTGAATGTGGTTCACAGTATTTCATCCATGCACATCACAGCATGAATACTAGACTCAATTATTATATCTCCATTTTAGTGAAACAATAATGATTAAGAAATATATGATTGTTTATTGCTATTATAAAAATCTACATTATACAGAGTGTCCCAGTTGTTTGGTGCCATACTTCAGGAGCGTACTGAGGGTTCCCTATAGAACAACTTTGAAACAGGAACCCACGTCCACAAACCTAAAATAGCAGCGCTAGGGGAGCATTTAATATTATTTTGTTTGAACATGGCGCCTCAATGTCGAAGAGCATGCACATGCATATTACCCCCTCCAAACTCTTAAGACTCACCTGCTAGAGTAGATGTTGGAATTGGTGCCCTCCATTTTCGATGAAGGAAACTTTGGCGCACCCTTTCAAATATTCCAGGTGTCACACGGATCACATCACATGCAACAAGTATTCTGGCCAACAGCTCGAAATCATTATCCACAGGCGTGTCATAGATCAGGCTTTTCACATGGCCCCAGACGAAATAGTCCTGAGGTGTCAAGTCTGGGGATCAGGGTGGCCAAGGTACTGGGCATCCTCTTCCTATCCAACAACCATGAAAGCAGCATCCAGGTAGTCTCGTGATACAATGCTGAAGTGTGCTGGCGCTCCATCATACTGTATCCAGATTTGCCTCCACACAATCAGTGGCACGTCTTCTAGCAAAGTTGGAAGGATACATTCCAGGAACACCTTGTAAAAGGGCCCATTGAGTCCCGTGGTAGGAGGAAAGGCCCAATCAAGTGATCGCCAATGATGCCCGCCCAGACATTTACAGAAAATTGCGCCTGTTGGTAACCAACTACAGTAACGTTGGGGTTTTCGTCAGCCCAAAAGTGGCTGTTTTGACAGTTGAACCAGCCATCCCTTGTAAATTGCGCTTCATCTGTGAAGAACACATGATTCAGTAAATTGGGCTGATGTAAACACTGGTTCAGTACCCACTGACAAAATTGAACTCGGGGTACAAAGTCAGCTGGACATACGTCGTGTACTTGCGTTGGATGATACGGATAAAGCTGTTGGTCGTGCAGGATCCTCCAAACACTTGATTTTGATGTCCCCACAATCTTGGCAATGGCACGAGTGCTGGTGGATGGCTGTTCGTCTATGCACTGCAGTTCGACATTGAGGCGCCAAGTTTAAACAAAATGATTTTAAATGCCACCCTAGCACTGCTATTTAACGTTTGTGGATATGGGTTCCTATTTCAAAGTTATTCTATAGTGAACCCTCAGTACAATCCTGAAGTATGGCAACAAACTCCTGGGACATCCTGTATTTTACACAGTCCATACCTTGTTACTATATTTAAGGAGGTATATATGTTTTAAGAGTTTAACATGATTAAGATAGCAGGGACCAAACTCTTGTGCTGCATGCTGCATTATTGCTTTAAATCTTTCAGTGCCAACTCCTAGGTGGAACACCATTCAAAAATATATATTAATTTTCAGTTCATCTTCATGCTCAATCTCAAGCTTTAAATATTTGCATCAGATTCAAAGAATATAAACTGAAAATTTCTTCCCACTCAAGTGAGAATTTTTAATATGTTTCCAAGGAAAAAAAGTCTGGCATAAGTGGCTGTGAAAGGGATAAAAATGATGTCAGCTTTATTACATGTGACACACAAGTTTAAATATTTATTTTTAACAAGTTACTATCTTACAGAACATGAAGCTGGGATACTGCAATCAGTATAGTGACTGGCTGCAGGCTGGACAACAGAGGGGTTGGAGTTCCAAGTCCTGGTAGAGTCAAGAATTTTTCTGCCCCGTCATCCAGACTGGCTCTGGGGCCCACCCAGCCTCCTATCCAATGGGTACCAGGGACTATTTCTCTTGGGGTAAAGCGGCAGGGGCATGAAGCTAATCACTCTCCTCCAACTAGTGCTGAGATCAAGAAAATATGGATCTATACAACCATTTTCCCATACATCTTTATGGTGTAGTGCTTAATTAGTTAAGCACAGTGACAACTTTATCTTTTTACCTTTTGCTATCTTATAGAACATGAAGCTGGGATAGTGTAGTCAGTACAGTGACTGACTACAACTGGACAACCAAGGGTTTGGAGCTCGAGTCCTGGTAGGGTCAAGAAATTTCTTTTCTTCACGTCGTCCAGACTGGCTCTGAGGCCCACCCAGCCTCTTATCGAATGGGTAACAGGGGCTCTTTCCCCAGAGGGTAAAGTGGCTGTGGCGTGAAGCTGACCACTCACGTCCAACTAGTGCCAAGGTCAAGAAAATGTGGATCTATATATCTACTTCCCCATATGCCTTCATGGCACAGTGCTTAATTATCTAAGCACAGGGACAACTTTACCTTCCTTTTTAACTATCATACAGAGTTAGCTCAGTTCCAATTAAAACGACTAATTAAAAGTTCACTTGCGGACTCAAGCCATGGAGTTATTTTTTTATTTTAATTAAAAGGTTTTAAGTTGGGAAGTGATTCACTTTAAGAAAATATAATGTGAGATTCTTCTGACAGACTATGAACAGTTCCTTAAGAGTGGCCGTGGTAGACCTCAACTGTGACCCTCTAGATCTCGAGATCTAACTGCGGTGGAATTTTTTCTATGGGATTATGTCTTTGTTTGACCCTTACAAATGGAGCGTGGTGAGCTGAAATACCATGTTTATGAAAGTAATGCATCAATCGAACAAGAAATGGTTTGGGATGAGTTCCTGTATTGTAAAGATGTCAAATTACCACTGAAGTTCATATTAAGGATCTACAAAGTAAAAAATAAGTATCTGTAGCTACTGTTTCCATTACTACCAATTTAAGTTTTGTAGTAGCATTAATTTCTTAAATATATATTTTTAAACTTGCATGTAATTGTAAGAACCCTACGTTACAGATGCCATGTTGATATATCTCAAAATATATCAATTTGGCACTTACAGAGATTAATAATAAAGAATGTACTAATGAAATTTAAGTGTGTTACTTATCGCATTTATTTTAATGAACAGTATTAAGTGATATTCCTGTCAGTATGGGTAGTTCAGAAATGCTAATGCCTTGTATGGTGTAACTACCAGTACAAACATTGTGATGGAACTAATGTTTCTGTGAGGCACTTCTACCATTTGTTTATCATGAGATTTGTACGGTTCGATAAGTATGTTATATACAAACTTTTAAAATAAAATGACAATGTTATATTATTCATGCAAATATGTTTTACAGTTTTTTTTTAAACTGAACATTTTCCTGTGTTCCTTTTTTTCCAAATAGAGAAGTGTTTTACTTCTTTATTTTTCTGGGAACTCACAGCTTCAAGGCCAGAGGTGGCTGGTTTCATGAAATGTTGAGATGTAGGAGGGGTCTGTGG